ATCTTGATCTTACCACATAAAGACGGTGGAGTTCTGTGTTTGTTGACAAACGGGGCTGGAGATTTGAGTAGGCCTATTATTAATTTTCACTAATGATTGTTTTATGCAAATATTTGAATGATCATCATCACAGATGAGACTGAATGAAGTCTCTTCAAATGTCCCAGATTCGAAGAGTTCCAAGAATTGTGTCTGTAAACCTCACCTCATTTCCCCCCTCATGTGATGATAAAGCTATGTACATACACAAACACTCAAACATGTTGTGCACTGTGTGGTTTGTGGTCAGTTGATAAATAGCTTCAGTTGAGCAGGGAGAGTGTACACGCTTAACACGATACTGTATTGACACGGAAAACACATTCCTAAGAACACCCAGTTTTTGTTCTCATCTTTCCGGCGAAGTTCTTAGAATTGCCAGAACCAGCCGCAAACAGGCCTACAACTTTCACACCAACACCTCTAATAAACAACATGTGACCTCAGAAACCCTTTTTCTTGCTCACTCTGAAATGCATACACTTATAGATTTCATCAAGCTGAACAACTTTCACACTTTAAATCATACACCAGCCCAACACAAAGTCAGCTATTATGGGTTGTTTGAAAAACGCCTGCCTTGGAATTTGATATACTCCTCGACGTGTAAACTCGGTCAACATAAAGCCAAGACATTGGCCAAGGTAACAAATTAATAGCAAAATAAGGGAAAGAGGAAGGGTGTTATAACTTCTGCATACATTGACAGTTTTTTATGAAACTTCAGGTGTGTTCGTAGTAGGAGGCCAATCCCATGGATTGGCGCCACCAACTGGCAGCAAGAAGTGTGTCACTTTCAAAATGTTTTAAAATCACCCTCCTATTTTTACCAGATTGGTTTCAGTCTTCATCAGAATAATGTGAAGACACCGCAGATGTACACTTGTGGAAGGATTATTGATATCTAGAATACTGTTGTCATGGCAATGTGTCAACTTCTTTTGAGCAGTATTAGCATACTTCAAATTGCATGAAACTTGACACACACATCAGAGTTGTCAGCCAGAAGACATGGGCAAAACCTTAGAAATGGGCAACCTTTTAACTAAAGTTGGGGGTTAGTTTTACCTACAGTCACCAAACTTGGTACATATATTGTTCTCATCGAGCTGGAAAACGTTTTAATTTACAGTCATTACAGTCAAATAGCCGACCAACAGGAAGTCAGCTATTTCAGTTTGAATATGAACTTTTTTTTTTAATCAAGCTCTGAATTTTTAACTACTGCTCCAAAGGCTGTCATACGATGCACACCAAACTTTCTCAACATGATGCCAATATATTGAAGATGCTAAATTGCAAACGGATATTGTATATCTCAAACTGTGTTGTTTGAGATATGCAATACAAACTGTGTTGTTTAAGATATGGCAAGGGATTAAAAGGTCAAAAAAAGGGAAACAAGAAGGGTCTCATATCTTGTAAAAAAAATTGTTTGATTTAAACTAAATTAAGACTATATGTTTGCTCATTGAACCTGAAAAAAAATTAATGTACTATATTTCAGATCAACATATTTGTTTTCTTTAAACTGTTGTATTTTGAGATTAATTCATGAAACTAAACAATATTCTCCTCTGAATTATATACAATGTATTTCTATATAAGATTTGAATAACAAAACAAAGGCATTTAACTATTTCATTTGTAGTGGCCTGACAATATAGATTATATAATTAGTTTATTTATTAGGTTAATAAAAATATAAAATGACCTTAAGAAATACTTCTCGAAGTACAAAAATTTGAGATACAAATATAGATTTATAATCACTTTAAACTGACATACGACATCCTGTCACATGCAGTTCATGGATGTGGCTGTTGTGGTTCACGGTCATAGTGGCACCAGCTGCTGCAGTAAATGTAGCGTACAAATGACTTTTGACAACTTTTTTTACATTTTCCGGCATTAGATGGATATTGCCCGTTGTACACAGTCACCCTGAAGTCACCGAGGTGGCGGTGGAGCCGGAGCCTGGGCCCATCATCGCTGCTTGCAGCTATATTTAGTTTTTGTGTTTTTATACAGCACAGGTATCCATCTCTAAGATGTCTGCTAAAGAGCGCTTAATCTGGAAAACATCTACAAAAATCTGATAAAAATATTCAAAAAAACAATTTTACTTATATATATAAATCACAAATATCTTAAAGATGTTTTCTAAATGTCTATTTAACATCTGAAAATGTCTGACGTCTGCTCTTTTACACTTTTGGTGACCTGGACATTAGTTAAAAGAACCATTGTTTCTTAGTGTAAAGAACATTTGACTAATCCAAAGAACATTTTTTTTCCCACTATAAAGAACCTTTTCTCCAAAGGAAAGGTTTGGTGGATGTTGAAGGTTCTTCATGGAATCGTAGGCCATGCCAGTACAGGATCTTTATTTATATGAGTGCATGTGTTTGTAGTGTTTGTGTTGTGGTGTGTGCATGTGCTCTGGTCAGCATCTCTTCTCTTCTGTTCTCTAAATCCTCCTCTGTGTTTCGCTCTCTCCAGCACAATACCAGCACCAGTTACCCTGCTGGGTCACAGACACATAAAAAGGTTTTTACTCTGTGAATACGGGACAATGTGCTCAGAACAGACAACAGAGAACAGTGTGGTGAGTGAAGAGAAAAATCTATACTTATTGACAGGTCTGTGTGTGATATTGCTTTTATATTTTCTGTATTTACAGTCCATTTACGGACATCGAGCGCTTGTTCTGAATTAAAGACCATGACCTCAGTTCGGTTTGGTATTGGTGTGACTGCTTTCTGTTTTAGGTCACTGGCTTTACCTTGAGGGATCATCTGTAACTGCAATAGAAACGTAGTATGGCATCCAAACTGAGTTTAAGGGAATTTGAGTGAGTTGCATGATAGATAAAACATGTTTATTATAATAAATTCAGACAAGAATGAAAGAGCACACCTCTCCTTTTCCAGTTCTCAGAGCCCAAAGTCGGATGTCAGACATCACACGGATGAAAATTATAAAACAAATGCATGGCATACTATGGTCAGTGTGTGTGTGTGTGTGCCCATTAACTATATTTTGTGGACTAATTTGTACCCAGACGTTACCAAACCCTGACAAAATCTCCAAAAACATGTATGTGTTTGTGTGTGTGTGTGTGTGTACTCTGTATCAACCAGTTGACCTTGTCATTTTCAGACCGCAGCGTTCCATCAGATATCCGAGAATGACGCTTCTCGAGATCCCAACCATCCCCAGTCTTTCCTGGCTCAACAGAGAATATCTGCGGCACTCAAGAGGATCCGTCTCTGCAAGGACAAACCAAGCTAAGCAATGAACTTCTGGTCTAAGAGCAGGCATTCAGGGAATAGGACAGACACACAGTCACTGGCTCCACCTGCTGGACACTGAATGCATTCACATGCGCAATTATGCTGTAGTCGTTCTTAAAAAAGCTGACAATGCTGTTATTTTTATGTCTTGATGTCTAAATATAAACACAAATGTGTTATAGGTTAATGGACTTATGAAATTTTATTTTAAATAGCCTAAATTGAGTTACCCAGACACTCAACGTGGAACATGTACCAGATGTGGCCCGGATCTGGGCCGACTCTATGTTGCTGTCTGGCCTAAACACTGAAAGAAGGCTGCACTCTTCAACCAAACTATGGGTTTTGCCAGATATAGTGTATTGTTCTCTGATATTAATTTATCAACATAATTAATTCATCACATTTCAGTATAGTTTTGATAGTTTTGTCAATCGAGCACCAATAGCCTGAAGTTAGCATGGGTGGTCGTTGTTCGTACACTACTTTGAATTACATTTTGATTGGTCCTCGTGAAATGCTATAAGGTTTAAATTGACATTGTTAAACATTGTGTGGTTTAGTACAAAATCAAAGCTGCAAATAAATGGAAGTCAATGCATGTTCAGATCTGGAGTGATTTGAAGAAGATTTAGCTTCATCAGGTGTGGCAGATCCTCTTTGAGACGCATATCAACTAAAACAAGACGTCACTTTGCTTCCCTGCTCCTGCACTTGTTCCCTTGGGAAAGTTATGATTATATGATTCAGACTATACTTGTCACGCAGTGTTAACGTAAGGTAGGAAACACTTAGCACCCGAGCTCAACATCTGACTGTTTGAACTTCAGGTGAGCAAAGCCTTCAGAACCTGTGAGAAAGAAACCTGTGTAGCCATAAACACATAAGACAGTTATTATTGTGCATAATTGTGAAATTAATAACCTTCTCGTAACCATATTAATAATATTAGTGTTCTTGTTGTACAGTAACGTTTGAGTCTCTCAATGAATCCACTGACTAGAACATTATTTAAAATAATGTTGGCCATATTTTATCACTGTAAAAAAATATTTTCATGATTTGTAATCACAACATTTTTTATTTTGTCAAATCAACTTAAATAATGTATGTAGCTCAGATAACATAATATTTTGAGTTTCTGAAGATTGAATCAATTTCATTGGATTAACACATTTATTCCATTTCAATGAACTTAAAATTTTAAGGCAGCCAGGTTACTTCATTTTTTAAGTTAAACCAACAATATTTTGTAATATATATATAGCGTGTGGCCTATTTTTGTAATTTTCTTGTAAAACGAAAGAAGAAATTAAGATTTTCACTTTGGTTAAAAAACATCATCTGTTGATGCAGCTGAAAGTAAAGCCTAATTTAAAGAGTGAAATAAAAATGAACTGATATGTAATTTTAAAAAGGTTAAATGTGAAAAGCACATGTTCCTCAGTTCCCACAGGTGTGATATGAAGAGATGAAAGCTGCACTTGTCACAGCCTCACGAAAACTCACCTGTCACTCACAGCCATAATCTGAGTACAATCGCTATGTTCACACTTAATAAAGCAATGATGAGCAGTCATGAAAGAACCCGCTGAGAGTATATAAATGGTCAGCTCCGGCTTCGTGTCCACAACGACAGCAAGGTTACCCTACGGAACCTTGAACCGCGAGATTATTCAACAAGCGACATCCTTCAGAGAGTTTTTCTTCAGCTAAATCGATTCCAGATAAACCTTGAACCAATATTCGATAATTTCGCAAAAATGACCAGCTTTTTTATCCTGTTGTCAGTGGTCACTTTGGCTGGCGCTTTCCCTCGCAGCGCCTTTCAACGCGACTTTCACCGACACATGGCGAAAGATTTGGAATCCTCCGGGAATGGACCAGACGAACCTATTCGGGGATCTGTGAGAGTTGTCAAACTAAACCCTCATCATTTTATGCGACGGGCAACCAGTAGTCATGTGCCGTCCAAAAACTCCCCTAGTCGAGGCGCGTTTCCCGCGTTCTTGGCCCTCGGACGTGCTGGTCCGTCGGCCCTGACCCGTACCAAACCTTCGGGCCTGCTCTCTCCGGTGAGCGCGAGCGGCACCGGCGCAGACGCGAGGAGAAAACAGGGTCTCGAGATGTGGCAGAAAGTCATGCACAAAAGCGAGCGAAGCAAAGAGGCCGTGGCGCTGCCCATCAAGCCCAAAGACATGTCCAAGCAGAGCTGTGCCGCGGTGCCCTTCACACAGGTAAGAATTCATAACTGTACGATGGAAATGTTTTTGTCAACAATGTTAGACCATTCTATATGTAATAGGCCTGCGTGAAACTTGAAGTTGCCTATTTTGTGACGTCATATACCCAGATAGCACAAGTAGGTCTGCAAGATGTCTGTTAAAGATCACTTCATCTGGAAAGCATCTGCCGTTTATTAACATCTGATAGACATCTTTAAGATGTCAGTTTAACACACATTCTAAATCATTACATCTTAAAGACATCTTTCTAAATGTCTATTTGACATCTGACAGGAAATAGACGCGCATTGCAGATGAGCAAACACTCTAAAAAAAAAATACATCTTCCAGATGTAAACACACACATCAGAATAGACGTCCATGTGATGGAAGTGTGCCTATCAGGCCTAGCTATATCGTAGGCCACCGCACATAAAAAAAATAATTTTTAAAATAACAGAAAAGTTAGCCTATGGCAGCTTAATATTACTCTTACATCATCTATAGTGAATTTACGGACATTTCCGTTAACCCCAAAACACATCGCAATGAAGTGTTTCAAAAATTAAAATACAGGTAAAACACCTGTAAAAATAAATACGGAAAAATTCCGTTTAATGAATAGCTACAGCTATCTACATTGTGCCCTATTTTTACGGATTTTTTAGAAATAGTATGATTTAAGTAAAATAAAAGTAGTGTCAAAGCGACAACATGCACATGTTTGACCATTATTAATTATATTTCGTATAAAGGGAATTTGTCATCTTGCTAACATACGATATAAATAGGCTATATGGACACATCCATGTGATATTGTTTATATATAATGAACATTCTAGGCCTGTATATATCTAAAATGCAATTGATCTTGACAACACAATGCGTTGTATGGAAAGAATGATTCTATCATAGTGACATGACAGTGGGTAAATTATAATGTCTTAATTTTCAGTGATACAAATCATAATCATCGGCGTTATTGTTATGAAACAGTTTGCCCTTTAAATCAGTGGATCTCAACCTTTTTGACTTTAGTCAATCTTTTGATTTTTTAGTTGTTTTACCTTTTTTTAATGCTTATTTTAAATCATTTTAATTCATCTTGAGGACCCCTGCGTTGCTAGCCTATTACATGTTCGTTTGTGTTCACCGTTCCAGCGCATAACGGAGGACGGCTGTGAGACGGTGACCGTTCACAATCATCTCTGCTTCGGTCAGTGCAGCTCCATGTTCGTCCCGTCCAGTGGAGAGGTTCGTGCACCAGGAGCTCCGTGCACGCGCTGCGGCCCCTCTAAATCGCGCTCCGTGCGCGTGCCTCTGCGCTGCGGGACTGAGGTGCGCGAGAGGCGCGTAATGGTCGTCGAGGAGTGCAAGTGCGAAACCAGCAGTGAAGAGGTCACAGTGCAGACACAGAAATGCATCATTTTATAACTGAGAAGGTTTCACTTTATACATTTATTCTAATATTTAAGTTCACCAATGGTGTGTGTGGTCTCTGTGTGTCTCTCTGTGTGTGTCTCTGTGTGTGTCTGTTTGAGGACTAGGCCTATATATAGCCACATAAATGTGAAATATTTGTGTTGTTAAAAGTGTCGGGATGTATTTACCACGAGTCCCTGTGAACAACAGGGAAAGCGTCTCTGTAAACTACCGTCTGATATTCGGCGGGATCTTTGTGTTAATTGTAATGACGATGCTTTTCATCAGTTTAATGAAGGCTACATGGACACGTGTCATTTCATAGTTTCACCAGTAAGTGTCGCGGTTGCATGAAAATTATTTCAGCAATGCATTTTACTTTAGTTCACCCTGGATAACGAATAATGTGGAATGGGGTAAATTGGCTTTATGCACAGCTGCACTACTTCCTGAACTTAAGCCAGCTCATTGTTTCCTGCCTGCCATTATTGGACAAACCGATTAATCCAGGTGTGTCTGACCTCAGTAGTCACAACAACAATAATCAGGCACACCTGCATTTTGTGGAGATGTATTTGAGTGGCAATATGAGATATTTAAAGCTAGTTCAAGAAAAGAAAAAAACTGTACAATGCATCGAAAATTTCACAGTGTTGCAGTAGCCAATAAAAAGCTATGTGAAATCAATAAAACAAACGGAAAAAGCCCACATCAGCATGCCTTTCTTTTTAAATGTCTGCTAATGCTTTACCATCACCATCAACATCATCAACCAATGTACAAAGATGTCTTACCGATGAATAGCCTATTTATTTTTGAAGGATCATGTGACACTTAAAGGGATAGGCTAGTTCACCAAAAAATTCTCATTCTTTGTTACAAACCTGAATGAGTTTCTTTCTTCTGTTGAGCAAAAGATATTTTTAAAGATGGTGTTATTAAAACATTGGATGGCAGCCATTGACCTCCATAATAGGAA